AATAAAGAAATATCCTGAATTCTCACGTGGTTTTCTCCCCTTGTTTGCAATATATTCTTTCCTCCTCTCCTAAATATATGCTTGCAGTATAAAGCAACAACAGTAGCAATACCTGATGCTGACTTTCACTTTACCCAAAAGTTATATAGAAACAAAAGCAAATACAGAAGCAGTTTATTTTTCTGTGTGGATCCCTTCCCAATTTTGAAATCAATCACAGACCTGGCAGAAATTCAGGATTTCTAAAAATCATGTGTTGGAATTAGAAACATCTTTCAATTTTTTTTCAAATGCTTTTTCTTGGCAGAGGCTGTGGATTAACTTGGCTGTTCCTGTTTTATAGCAGGTTCATGAAGACTAAGTAACTTTAATTGCACCTACATCACAGATGTGAACATACTCAGCAACTATAGGAAAGCTGCCATGACACTTGGGTTGCCTGCATCCCGTATCAGAACCCTCATACCTCAAGGTCACGCTGTCCTCCAACAGCTTCATTCACTTTGGGACACAGAAATGCTTTAAATATATTTCTAATTATACACTATGTTTCAAATATATTTTTTCAAATGGCTGTGTAAGAGTAAGATTCATATACATAAAATGATAATATACATTGTAACTCTAGAGACCTATCATATATATATAAAAGATCAGAATCAGAAATATAAATAAGAAAAAAAATTAGAAATATAACTAAGTGAAAAAAAAAAAAGAAACAGATAAAGAAAACGAAGTGTTATGAGTCCATTTAAGATTTGTAGTGTATACACAGTATTTCCAGTTGCGTGACTCTTGGCTTACACTTTTTTCCCACACAAATGAAGCAACAACTAATAAGCCCTTTCAGACCACAGCCTCACCACTGGTTAGCAGGTGGGTGAAGTGATTCTGTCTTTCCTACCCAAGTTTAGAAAACTTTCCATCTGCTTTGTATCTGCATGAAATGTTCACAAATGTGAAGTAATACACAGTGGACTAAAAAATAATAAGCTCAAGAAGAAAAATAATGAACCTGATCAAAACTGGAAGAACTATGAACTCACTTCCACCCTAAAGATATCCAAACAACCCAAGGACTCTGTTACAAAAACGAACATAATGCTCAGAAAACAGGAAAGAACAGCAAGACATAAATCAAATAAAAATATCACGAGGCTGTGCTTTAGAAAACTGCATGACTTGTACAACTTTTTATGTAGTGAGTTCTGTTCCTACAGCCCTTTACAGAGCTGGATAACTCCAGGCAGCCTAAAGGATACAAAACACCCAGGTGTCCATAACCAGCGCTGGCTGCCTTAGCAAGAGCTCAAGGTGGCCACCTGATTAAAAAGTGAACTTTGACAGGTAAGAAAGAAATCAGCCATACTCTACTTTATAAGGAACAGGAAAGGATTTTTCACATAAATTAGAGGTGAAGCGCAACAAGCACCAGGAAAGGGATAATGAAACATTTGCTGTGGTGAGGTTACAAAAAGCTTTTGTCGACGTAAGGTTCACAAACACGTAGAATGGTCTGCAAAGAGACTATCAATAAGGATATAAATATCCCCTTGGGTATCAAGAAAATATTAGATGCCACAGAGTGGCCAGATGGGATAGAAAACTGACAAGGAAATACAGAATTGAAGGCTTTGACTCCTCTCCTGTATTCCTATGAGGTATTCGTATAAAATGTGCCCAGGCTATGGCCTGGAATCAGACGTACAGTCAAGCACATCCTTCAGTTGAAGTCAGTTAACAGTAACATACCAGAGAACAGGGGTATCTTATGCACCTCCAGCAATGTGCTTTTAAATAGGATACAACAGTGCTGTGACTATTTTAAACAAACATCAGCTCTAAAATCTGTAAGAAGAGACAGGCTTTGCGTCTGCAACAGACATCGTCAGGTTAAACATTTTTCCTGACTAAGCGCATTCTGAACACCTACGAGCATATGGTGGGCATAAAGCTTTAGCATTCTTCCAGTAGCACCACAGACATTGGTAAAAGAGAGCTGAGACCTCTATAATTTAGATTAATTGCTTATTATGGGTATGAGGAGAGGTGCTGCGGGAGTACTACGGGCTCAAATAACAACTGAGAGCAGCCGCTTGAGCCAATGCAATCCCCCGAGCCCTCGGGCCTGAGTTGCAGAGTGCTCTACCTCTGCAGGATGCCTGTCCCTCTCCGGCTGCTGACAGTACAAGGATACTTGTGGGTCTCCTTCTCGAAGAGCTGCCCTGACTCACTGCTTGTTTGTATCAGTTACATATTTCTGCACAGCAAGACCTAAACCCGTTTTAAGTCTGGCTTCTCATTTTTCTATGTCAGTCTGTCAGAAAGTGATGGTGGACCTCCAGCACTCAGTCCCTGGCCAGCAGCAGCACCGGCTCCCGCTGCAGAAGGAGCACATGTTACCACCTGCCAGCAGTGCCTCTCTGTGGGACACGAAGAGGGTGTGGAGCTGGCTGCAGCTTTTCAGCCAGGTCTGAGGTTCGAGATTAGTCAGTTTTGGCAATGGTTACGTGGGGGTGATCACGGCTTTCCAAATCTGCATAGGACTGCCCAGCACCCCTCAAGTTGTCATACCTAATTCTTGGTCATACTCAAATTTAAGGATAGCCTGGGTTGCTCTGCAGACACCGACAGCGGGAGAGTGAGATGGGGAGATCACGGATCACACATTCCTTGAACTGCAACAAATGCCTTCCCAGAGGGGAAGGGCTTGGGCTCACCCATGCCAGTGTGCCCACCACCTGGACCCCGCAGCCCCCCGTCTGTCACTGGGGAGTGAGGAGCTGCAGGCAGGGAGCGATACCACACTGCTTGGGAATGCAAGGGGTGCAAGGACGTAGCAGCGGAAAGGTAATTGGGGAGGAGGGAATGAAAATCACCTTTGACATTCCCCTCCTCAGAAATGTGCTCCACCTCAAAGCCAAAGTAGCAGCCTGTCATGAGAAGCGTTTTACTGAGAGCTCACCTAAAGCATCTATGAGAAGTCCCCTACTGTGTTAGCAGCCCCTTTCCTTCCCCACACTGTGCCATAAGCAGAGTGCTCAGCATCGTGGTACTGATGTGCAGCCTCTGCTGCCTGCGCCAGTGAAGCATGTAATGAAACAGGAGCAAAGAGAGCAAGAGAGAGACAGGAGAGAGCAATACTGCACTGTGGTGCTCCTGCACAGAACCCAGCAGGTGCAAGCAGTACTCGGGCTGAATCTGGTCTCCCTTAGAGGATATCAGCTTTTGCTGGCTATGAACAGGTAAACTGGAAATGATGGTTCAACATTGTTTTCAGCTCTGCTGTGGTTCAAGCCACTAACTGGAAGGACAGCAAACAGGGAACATTTTGCTTCTCTTTGGAATGCAAAACATGCAGCACTGGTTTCTGCAATCAAATCCCCAAACCAAAACATGATAGTCATCATTCCCAATCCCCGTACTCAGCACGGTGCTTCAGTATATCCCTACAAAATAATTATTTTCACCAATCATTTGCCAAATAGGCGTGCAAGATGTTTAGAAGATATATGCTTGACTGAGAAGATAGTGTTTAAACAGTTTGGTTTTTTTCCCCAACAATTTTGGTTGGTTTTTTTGTTTTCTGTTACCTGGCAGGTAACAGAAATAATTGCTTGGTAAGCATGTTGGTTTGCTATGTGTTAAATGCTCACCAATTACATTATTGAAACATAATTACCATGCAAGCAGTATTCTCTCATTATATATTTTTAAAAGCAAACCCCATTAGTATGGCTGCCTTCCTCCTCCCATCTCTGCTTTCTTTTTCACGTCTCTGGAGTGGCAGTAGGAGGTAATCAGGATGGCCAGCCTCAAGCTCAGGATGCAACACAGGGGCCAGGAGAAAGGAGGCAAGGTCCACGTCACCTGCCCAGCAGGCTGCAGTATCAGTGCGGTCCTTCCCGCTGCCTTAGCTCCACTTCCCTTCTGTGCCTTTCCATTCGATTGCTATGGCGAGAAGTGTGCTGCGTTACAACGAAAGGTCTGAGAGGAATGTTTTGCTGTGTTCGTTTTTGAAGCTTGCCTCATGTCAGATTCTGGTCTCTTGCCCACTGAAACACTCTCCAAGACCTGGGTCTGAAGCAGCAGAGTGCATTTCTCCCTGACTCTGCCTGCTTTGCGGACAGAGGATTTGGCACTAGCATTCAGGCTAAAAGCAATCTTACATCTTTTCAGATCACTTCGGTAAGAGTGTGACATTTTGTGCATTATATAAAGCAATTCACTTAAACCCTACTTAACTAAAGCTCTTATTTCACCACATCCACATTACGTACTTAGGTGTCAACACACTCTTCAGTTACCCTCTCTTATGAGATAATTCTTATCTCATCATAGTGATGTTCCAGAGTGTGTTGAATAACGAGGATTACAAAGGAATGTTTTTAATACAATTAGGAATATTGCACAGGCTGGAAATGAATTCCTAGTTAAGGCATTGATCTAACAGGGAACATAAGTGCATTTTTAAGTTTGAGAGTCCTACTGAAAGCAAAATGATTATTCATATGATTAAAGTTAAGGTGACTTGTCAGAGCAGAGCATAAGAGTGTAGGATATGCGTTTGGACCTAATTCAGAAAGATACTTAGGAACATGGCTAGCTGTAACCTATGAAACACTAAGCACTTAAAACACCACGTAAGGTCAGAAGGAAAAGGAAGATCACATGATGGCCAAATCCACCACCTGTGGTTTTTTTCCCAAACCTCTGCTCAATCTTACTATGGGTTTCATAACCCTAGCATAACAGCTTTTCACAATTTGAATAAATAATAGCAAATCATTACTAAAAATGACAACAAAAATAAAAATAATACTAATATTAAATCCTTCTCCCGAAGGGATAGTCAGAGAGCTTTCTCTAGCCTTCAAGATTGCAAACAGCTCCAGTTAAAAGTTGAAGAAGCAGGTGAACAAAATAAACAAATTCTAATTATGGAAGATGAAGAAATCAAAGACATTTATTTATGTGCAATGTAAGATCTAATATGTCACCTTGCTGCCGCATTGGTGATTATTTTCAGACTGCTGGGATTACGGATCAACTTATCCAGGATGCTGACAATCTGCTCAAACTTGGGTCTGTTGTTTCTGTCTTTCTGCCAACAGTCCAGCATCAGCTGATACAAGGCAGCTGGGCAGTCCATAGGAGGTGGCAAGCGGTACCCTTCATCAACAGCCTTAATCACCTGCACAAGGATAAAAGTTTTTGAAAACTTAAAGGCACTTAAATCAACTTGGTTTTATCAGTTCTGTGAACCACATTAACACGGACATTCTGTGTTTAAACAAATGTGTTTATTCACTAATTGTCTTGTCGTGCAATGCCTCTGGTTTATCTGCAAAGTAAACCAGGCAATAAATTAGGCATACAGAAAGGGGAGTTAAGATACAGTATGTGACTTTGAGAAAGGTGAGAGTCCAGAAAGGATCTCCAAAACTCACACTTGATTGAACTAAACTCATAAACGAAAGCTACAGTTAGTAAGGTGCTTGCTTAGCTATGCCAAACTTCAAAAGGTCTTGAATATCTCTCGTCTGATCACCCTTAGCGACACAGGCTTTCCACACTCACCAGCGGACACTGCACTCGCCAGAAAACAAACCTACCCTCTCGCAGGACATCCTGAACTGATAGATAGAAGGTCTTGTGGACGATTTCACAGGACCAGAAAATATTTTTAAAACTTACCACGAGGATAACTGTACACTTCCTACTAGGCACTGCAGGCCTGATTCTTTTATCATTTGCCTAGATTGACAAAATTTGTCTAGATTGAAAAAAAATATAGCCCAGAATTTACAAGTTATGAAGGTTTTTAATACAATATTTTCACTAGAGTATAACATCTCTTGATCAGTCCTACAGTATCTATTGCATCATGAATAAAAACCCCAAAGTATTCTAAGTAGAAAATGATAAAGCTATATTCTGTTAATTTTTCCTTTTTATCTGGATCAGTTAATTCAAAAGCAGGAACAACTATTCTGAGTCAGAACAGGGTAGGAAAACAGTCCATGGTTTAAGCAGCCGTGAAGCAGAGGCACATAAATAGGTTAATCCTTCTGTTTCTGACTTTAATGTAATATTATTAAAGGCATTCCACGAGTATATCAGCCTACGTAACACGATTCATTAATCTCCACAAACAACAGAAAAACGTTCATGGCTAATTAAAAGAAATACATAGTTTTCTGCAGAGTCTTGGGTTCCAGACATACTCATTTGAAAGGAAGTTTTCTTCTCGTTTTCTGTGTTTAACATAGAGTAGCATAGAGAACGTCTGACTACAACTATGTTACTGACTTTTTAAATTTAGTACTAGTAACGATATATACCAATCCCTTGGAAAATCTATTTGTGTTAGTGACTGTACTTCATAAGTAACTCCTGTGGAATAAATTTAGGATTAATAAGACAACAGAAAAAGAACCCAAAATAGATATAATAAAAATCTTATTTGGGGAAATGTTATGCTTCTTACAAAAATACTGGGAGAGATCCATTAATCATTTGGATTGCAGGCTTGGGTAGTTCACTAATGTTGCAAAGAAGCCTTTAGTGGAAGTCTTCTAATCAGATCACTCTACTTCTCTATTTTATCCGTTGATTACTTCCAGAAGTATTTTGGTTTCATTAAACTCATAGTTGAAATGCTTTGCTTCTCTTTTTCACAAGCTCCAAGAGCAATTTATTCTGTGTATTTGACATTTACAGAAAACTTCTACAGAATATTATACAAGTGGAACCAAAGGGGATCAACAGAAATTTAGGAGGGTTTTCTAATAATAAGCTAAGGAATGTAAGAGGCAATGACCTCATTGCAGTGGAAGCATTTGAATCATCCTACAGAAAACCACCAGCATGATAAAATTTTCTAATGTGTTCCTTCAGAGGTCCAAAATACCCTGCTATAAAGATGCTGCCTTTTTGTTAAGTTCATTAGAACTTTACTTGACCAGGGAGATTTGGAGATTTTAATTTCTACATCTTATTCAATGTCAACGTCAAAAACTCAGAGCCACCTGGTTTCATTATGCTTCACTTCCTTTCACAGCTTGATCCTTTATTTGAGAACATAACTCAGATAACAATATACTCACATCCTGGTTGGACATCTCCCAGTATGGTCTTTCTCCGTATGACATCACCTCCCAGAGAACAATCCCATAGCTCCATGCGTCACTGGCCGATGTGAACTTCCGATATGCAATGGCTTCTGGTGACGTCCATCGGATAGGAATCTTGCCCCCCTAGGAGCAAAACAAAATAAACCAGTCCATTTGACTGTAATACAATAAATATAATTTTGCGTGATTGTTTATTTTATCTCTGAGATTCTCAATGACCATTATATTGGTGTAAAAACCAGAGTAAGCTGGAACATGCTATTGCCATTTGTCATGAAAGCATTTTGCATGCTATACAGAGTAAAATACATTACAGTGCAAAATCTACCAAAGCTACAGATATATAGTATAGTATACATACTGTATGCGTGTACATATATATACATATATGCACACATACATATTTATGTGCAGCATAATATGCACAGATAATAATAAATGGTAAGTTATGTATGGCTGATTTTCAGTTATAAAATGTTTGGAAACCGGCAAGACAGTCAGACAGCACTGAGGATGAAAAAGCTAGTATGAGGTCCTTGCTTACATCCTAGATCCCTTTGCACAGCCCAAGAGAGCTGGATTTGGCTATTTGTAAGGCGTTTCAAGTGAATGCCCGGTTGGTGTGGAACCTGTATGGTTTCACCATGTTTTCACCCCATGTTTTCACCCCATGTTTTCTAGGGCATTCGAGGAAAAGGAGGGGCCACGATGTTGCTCTGTTTCACTAACGCCAAGCCTCCAATTGCACAAGGCAGTGACTGTGAGCGTATGCACAAACTTCCCATTCCAAAGCCATCAGAGACAGTCACAGAAAGACAGATTCGGATGGGGTCATCTGTGCAGAAGGCAGAGTGCAAAAATACCATCTGGGGAAGTGGTCTTAAATATTTTTTACAGTCATAAGAGAAGCAAGCCATCATTAAATGATACAAACTTGAGAAGAATTAAAGCTACCGTTAAAATTAATATTGTAGTTAAGGGAACATCTCTCTCCGACTATAGCCACCATTTGGTGCCATAGGTCAAATTAGTAAAATGCACACAAGCAGCCTCAGGCTGAGTTTCTGCAATGTGAGAATTAGAGGAAAGAAACAATTTCCCACAGTGCCAGATTTGACAGAGGTTTTTAAGATTCTGATTTTAAGTCACACATGAGAAAATTAAGTCCTAAAAGAGAGTGGTGCAAACCTTGTTACTTAAGGAACTTCTGGAGTGAATATATTTGAATAGAGAAAACTGTGATAGTTTAAAGTTGTTTCCAGTTCCAGGGATGCATGACATGAACAGGGATATATGCTGAAGATTTCACACTAGACTAGCTATTTGACGTACCTCTGCGCCCCCCGTTATGCTACAGTCTGATCACACACCTATCCTCACAATAACCTGTATGGGAAGGGAGTGCTCTTATTTCCACTGCCTAACCAGCAACAAATAAAATGTAAAGATATTAATGCTTTGCCTACACTTCCATAAAGTGTACCTGCACTGAGAGTAGCCATACACTCACCAGTTTTAGATTAACTAGCTTGCTTAACAATAGAAATGTGGATATTAGTGTTAATGAGAAACCTAAATAAAGCCCATGCTGGAGCCTAAGCATCTGTAATTTCACGGTTAATATTGCACAAATTAGACTAAATAAAAGCAACACAGGTAGGCTTTACTCAGGCTGCAGTTTAGACTTGCAAAATGTCACTAGATATGTCTTAGAGGCTTGGCAAAGGTCAGAGAAGGAATCTGTCTTGGCATACAGTTTTTATGGATCCCATCTTGCTTAGCAGACTCCCTACCTTAACCAAAAGACAAACCTTCATTTTGCACATAACCCTTAAAATTAGGTATACACTGAATTTCCACATTACTTGTGGACCAACAAATAGGACACAGAAAATAAATAGCAGTATTTGAAACCAGTGTTTCATCATGGAAGTCAGATGTCTCTCTCTTGCAAACGTGGAAATCTGTAAGATGATGTCCTTTAGTAACAAAAAGTACATCATATTTTCTATTCATTATAAGTTTATTCACAATTCCCAGTGCTGCTCCATAACAGTACTTAGAGCATAAAACTGATTTTGATTTTCTCATACTCTATTGAGAAGCAATAGTATATCCACTTTACAAACATCCAGGGTCCCTCAGTGAGTCCAAGGCACAGCCAAGAAACAAGGGAAGCTCCCCTGTGTCCTAGTCTTTTCACAACAAATCCACTTAAACTTTTAGATGTGGGGATGATAAAGTAATCAATCCCACTTTTTCAACCTTTTTTCTATGCATACTAGTAGAGTGAACTTTGATTTCCAATAAAGAATGTCAATGCTGGGGGAAAGCCATTTCCTAAATTTACACAAACAAAAACCCACCACCATGAACAGAAAGCGCTTCCAAATCAAATGTCTCCCACTCGTCCCACAGGCTCAGAAGTTGCCTGCAAAACCGAGCAGACTTACAACACTGCTGCAAGGCCGAGGCACCTGAGCACTGCCTGCACAGAGGAGGCGGTGGGGGGAAGCCCCGGGCTGCAGGCTGAGGACGCCAGCTCTCCCAGCACAGACTGGACCACAGGGTGCTCTCACCCACCCCAGCCCATCTCAGCTGCCAGGACAGAACTGCCTCTACGCTACCAGAGATGTAAATGGGAAAGGAGTTTTACAGATCAAACCCAGCCCCATGGACCACACCTGGAAAGGAATGAGCAGCTCATGGGGCTTGCTGGAGCCCAGGCACAAGGGGCCACCACCATGCCCCATGGCTGGCAGGGGCTTCTGAGCTCCATCCCCCTGCCAGCACTCCCACAGGCAAGTGTGCCCAGAAGGGACCAAGCCAGACCAACACTGGCATTTGGTTCGAGGCAAAATGTTTCAAATTCCTGGCCAGGTGGGGACGTAAAAGAGGGAACTGTTGATCCTTGCTTCTTCCAACAGTAGCACTGCAACCTCAGACAAGCCCCAAGCCTCCTCTCACTTCTGCTGATCCCTCCCCTTGTGCCTGGAGGCATCAGCGCTGCTGGGAAAGAGACTGTGCCATCTGATGCAAAAGAAATTGAGATACAGAACTAGGTGTCAGCAGTGGGCTCCTGACGATGTAGCCAGGCTGGGCCTCATTCTCCAGCAATTGCTTTGGTTACTTCTTGAGCAGAGGGATGGCAGAACATATACCTACAACGTGCCACGTAAGAAAGTCCTCGAGGCAGGGAGTAGTTATGTTGTTTTTCTTGCATCAGCATAATGGCTGCTTCGGTGAAACACAGAAGTATCATTTTTGACTCTTCAGAATCTTACACTCTAAAGAACCTGAATTTCTGTGGGTGGCTTCAGGCTCACTCTTTTTAATTTCATGTTAAGATACCAAAATGGAGCCCTTCTTGCTGAACACTAGAGAAATAATTGCCAGATGTCACATGGAAAAATGTGCTCGTGGCTAGAACTTGAGCACGTTAGGCAAGGGCAGGAAATATCATATTTGATAGAAGGTCTTTACCTTTATAAACTTATGGAAAAAGTCATTTATGCAATTGGAGAAACACATTTACACAAAATGACATTAATTAGTCTCCTAACATTTGGGGACTGCTTTATTGCAGGGCAAGGAAGATTATAAACTCAGTGAAACAAAGTTGTTCTGGCTTTATTTGTTTTAGTGAAAAATGAAGGTACAACAACCCTAGATTCCATTACGAGGAAATAATTTTTTTCTGCTAAGTCTCAGCTGTAACTCTATACAAGACTACGGACACATGTAGCATTAGCAAAACCGAGAGTAAAATAAGGAGAGTATTAAAAGGTAGCTAAAAAAGAAATAAACTGCCACTGAATAGAGTGTAAAATTGTAATTTTGCTATTCTGCTCCCCAATTTGTCATAAAAACGTCAATTTTATCTTTGTATTTAAAAGGGGAGTTTGTTGACTCGTTTTTTGAATAATTTAAGAGCAAGAACAGAAAAAAAAAAGTTCTGGTAAACATTTTTTAGATAAATAAGCATTTTAACACAAAAACAATTCCCCCCAAAGGATTATGCAACATTCACATTTTAGCAGATGTCTAAATATCAATATATGCAGAAAATCTGAAGAGTCGTATCAAACTAAATGCATAGTTTTCTATTGCGATTACCTTTGAAAATGATAAGGCTTGCTGTAATTCAAATAGTCTATTTTGAAATTAAAACCCCATGATCATTCAGCATTAGAAAAATCCCTTTTCACTTCCACCACTTTTGAGAAATACACATCTCATTTGAATATATCACCTCTTCAATTTTCGGCTTTGCCAGAAATCAGGATGTTCTTTGCAATATCCTTTGCCAGGATCAAAGATATTTGCATAAATTAAATGACACATTTTCTCCTAGACCACAGAGTTGGAGCTGGGAAAACTAAGCTCCCATACTTGTTTCTTTACTTGTTTCTCGGTTTTTACCCTTTTCCCCAGTCTCCCGATATTTAAAATGATTATAATGATACCTGCTCTGTAAACTGCTATGATGAAAGTGCTAAGAAATCCTGTTTGGTTTTTGGTTTTTTTTACTGATGTATTGTATGTCCATTAGGCTTTCATGCAATTTAATCTTCTTTACCTGCTGCCTCTGTTGCTTATCCTCCACTGGAAAATCTGAACCTCTAATATTATTGGCTGGCATTACTGGGCTCCTACCTTTCAACATTAGTACTATCAGGATGGAACATGTAAGACAAACTTGCTAAATGAAAAATCATTGTAGATACGCCTAGGAGAAAGGTTTGCCCAAATCTATTTGATACAGGCTTATCAAGAGAAATCTACATGTGTACGCATCGCTAGCTATTGGTAATATATTTACTGATTATTTTCTGAAGATAAATACAGGTGTTATATATTTTTGTCATGGTCTCCCTTTAAGGGTATGCTCATCATGAAGCCAAATGAGCTGCCTGAATTTGAGTAGAAAGAAAGAATTCGTATTAGAAACTGTGGGAGTTTGTTATTGCAGCTCAAAATCCCAGGCAGTCTAGGTCAGAGAACCACTCTTGGGGTTTGAAATTAGTGAGCCAGCAGTAACCGACGGTTTTATCTGCTCTAGATGGAGCTGTGATTCCTACAGTATCAGGCCGTTCAGCGTAATTCATCTAAAGTCAATGAAGTCCTCAATTTATTTCTAGTGCGTCTGGCACTCTGGCACAAGGCAGCTGTTTCCAGGCCTTCATAACCCATTCCAATATTCTGATTTATAATCTGTTACAGGGTGACTGCCACAGGCACCTAAGCCACAGGCCTGGGGAGAGGAGAATCAAGAAAGATGGATTCTAACAGAATTATTAGAAGAACTTTGCAGGAAAACCTAAAGGTAAAAACCTGACATTAATTCATTACATGAGGACCTAGGCTAGTTCAGGAGATATCTTACTGGTATGGAGCAAGATGGTTTCATGTGAGTGAGATGAGCCTGACTTACCCTCTTAAGCACCTGAAAATTACCTGATGCTACTTGTTCATCCCTTACTAATGGATGTTTTATCTTGATATTATCTCCTTCTCCAGTGGTAAGGGATAACAGAGCACTGCTTCTCTCCCTCATGCTTATCAGGCCAGAGAATTTTTGGTTTTGTTTTGTTTTTTTTTTTTCTTTTTTTACCCTACCCTTCAATACATTCAGGCTGTAGGACCCTGTTTTTGCATACCTAGGGAATGAACAAACCACGACAAATTTCTGTCAGGCACCAGTTGCAATAACATGTGCATAACAGAAAGGACCTGCATGCCCTTCCCTGTGGCACACAATGGAGCAGAGCCTTGCCATGCCCTCCCTGCTCTGGCACTGTTACCTGGGGACACAGGCTACCAGAATACTTGCCATCAAAGCACAGTATTTTTTGAAGTGACGTAGATTTAATGAGAAGTTATCTATGCAAAGATAATAACTGGACAGTGTTTTACACTGAAATGCCATGAACACCAGTGATGTATCCAACTATGCATTTAAATAGTCAAAGTTCGTCTGCTGATTACCCAAATATTATGCCTTTGAGAGACATAATTACAGTCCCTCTACATGTGTGATGGTTTAAATTTACTTCCACTTCATACTGTGTCATTAGTCCACCTACTTGTCACACAGACATCTAAAAATAATAAGAATAAAAAGGATCAATTTGACAATGACAATTTTAATGCAATCTTGGCCTTTCAATTAAAAGTGAATAGGTATGGAGAACGTAGATAATTACAGTACATCCCCTCCGGCACAAAGGCTCAGTAAAAAAAAAAAAAAAAAAAAATCCAAACACTCAGTCAGCCTAATTCACATGCTGGCTTCTGCTTCTGTAAGCAGGCAGACCGCAGGCTGCCAAAGGCCTTTTGTGGTATCGAGTCAGTGACAATAATTCAGGAGGTAAAAAATGACCCTGTCAGGTAGCAAAGTTTTCTTACAGCTCTTGATTTCACATATGCACCTGTGATCTTTGCATTGTCCTTCAGAGCTCTTGCACAATAGCATGAATATAACAGATTATGTATTGATATATAAAGGGATACATACATTATTGATATATAAAAGGATACATGTTCATATCCTTTATGCAAAGCTTCAGACACAGCTTCTGAGAACAGAACAACATAAAATTTCACCCAGCCAGTGGCGTGTATCGAAAGCCTGAAGGGCTGACTGGGCTTCCTGGGGGTAGACCAATCCCAAATTGCAATTATGAATTAAAGCAATGGAATTGTTCTCAGGCTTTGACATTTACAGGTGGAAAATAGGGGTAGAAGAGGAGGCTAAATAGATAAAACATCTATCTTTGCAGCTAATTCTATAAATTTCCCTAGTACCACTGCTATTAAACGGAGAACTGGGAGTGGGAAGAGACGAAGGGGAGGCAAAAGTCTCTACCCATTAATATAATATGAACACTTTACTGTTTGAATGTTTGGAATTGTGGTTATAACTTGGATTTTTTTTTTTTTTTTTTGTCTTTTCAAAGATCCTACTGAGTAGTTGTCATCCGTTAGTTGTAAAGGCATGAAGTTGTTTGGGATGATGCCATTATTTTAAAAAGTGGCATCTTTTTTGTCTTGGTTTCACCATCTAATTAGTGCCTGTGAAATGCACTAGGAGCAGCCTAGGAAACAGTCCTGTGTTTTGTGATATAACTAAGCAGCAGCAACATGAACAGCCCAGCTTTCTTCCAGTGGACTGGAGCCCTGTTTCACACTCGTGGTCCCCAGTCGTTTAAGCTGGGGATCAAACATACTCCAGGGACACACTACCTGGACATGTCTGCAAGATTCACTTCAAAGGAAAGTTGAGCAAAAAGATGAATAGCAAATAGCCTTGTCCTTCTCTCAGAGTCAAGATGTGGCAGAGGTATATTCAAAAACTACTTTTGAAGGAAATTAGATTTGTCCTAGGTCGTATTTGAAGGTTTTAATTATCTGAGCAGCTTCCTGCAGCAGTTTGCACATACACCATAAATGCCAGATGGAGTTTACTGAACACAGATGATTACACTTTACAAAATAGTTTCTTTCCATCTGATTTCACTATCTAAATGTAAATAGGCAGGTAGGCTTAGGAAACAGGTGGCAGAAGAAGAAAAAAAAAAAAAAAATCAAAATCAACACTGCACTTGGCCATAGGGAATTCACATGTAACACTGGCCAGAAACACCAACACCCTGTGCACCCTGGTTTGTCCTAGCTCACCCGTGGATATAAGTCACTGACGTTCGTTTCATTTTCAGGGAATCATGCTTCCCTTATAAAGCTGTATGCTATGCAGTTTGATGGGCAGCTACTTTTTCCTCCCTATACAGCTTTTTCATCGAAGTTAACTAGGACTCAAAGGTTTCTTCAGCTCTTTATGTGAATACACAAAATGTCATTACTAAATTATGGATTAGTTTGCGTGCCCAGATGAATTTTGGAATAAGAGAATTGAACTTTGAAGCCTGGCAGAGGTATGTGTCCAAGCAGAAGAACATGAGCCAACCACGTGGCAAAGCTGTGTTGGGGATGGAAGGCGACATAGAGACTTGTCACCCGTGGAGATATTAACAGAAAGGGCATGCGTAAGAAACATGAGTTAAATATGCTATGCTTGGTGCTGGGGATTAGTATCCCGTTTTGGGCATCACATTTAAGGAAAATGTAGTTAAGTTGAAAAGAATCTGAAGGAGACCAGCAAGAAGACTAAGTTTGGAAAAATTGCTTAGAAAATAAAAGAACGGAGGGATGCGTGTGAAGAGGACAGCAATCTCCATGTATGTAAGCAGCTGCTTTAAAGGGGAGATCGATCACCTGCCTATGGGCAGTAGTGGTAGGACACTGAGTAATTGCCTTAGCTTGCAAGCGTGCATCCTGGGGGAGGGAGGTTAAATGCGAGACTAGATAAATACTATAGCTAAAACTGTTTACCTCGGAGACACTAACACCCATTACTTTCACAGGAGTATTTAAGAAGAGGGCAGGCAAGCATATCTGACAAGGCAATAAACCTCTGGCTGAACTACAGACAATTTTCTCTTGAGGAACTCTTGCATTATATTAATATTTACTTATGAATGCTGCACCTATACTGAGCATGAAAACTGCCTTCTCCTACTACTGTCTCTTTATATTAACTGTGAGACATCTCTGCAGACAGTTTTCTAAAGTGATATATATTGCATATTTCTAACAACATGCCAAAGCTTATCAGAGGTCAAAGAAAGCGCTGAAAGGTCAAGTAAAGAATAGAGTCTTTATGCCTGGTAAGTTATGAAAGTAAGATGGATAAATATGTATCTATAAATGTATGTGTATATAATGTATATATAATGTGTAAGAAAACAGCTAGGATTTCTTTACTCATTTGTCACACGTTATATTATTTCAATCATGAAGAAGGTAGCATGCAAACTACCACAATAATTGATTGCTCCTGTCAGTGATCAGGAATGAAGGAAGCCCCACATTACGATTTTGCTGATATATTCTACTCTAATCTGGTTTGTACAGTGAAGAGGAGGTGATTACTAGGCATCACTGCAAATTACACTTGACTAAGATACTGCCGATTAATGCCACTTTTTCTAAAGTTGTTAAAACCCACTTGCAATAGGATTAAAGTGAGCAACCAGACACCCCAGTGTAATATCTACATACACCAAGCTAAATGTATGCCTTCAAGGTTTCCACAATAAAACAGAAGCATTATTCAAGTGAGAACAAGAGGTGCAGCAGAGCTGTATTTAGAAGACACTGTGGCTTTTCTAAGGCTCTAAGCCAACAGTGTAGCTTCCAGGTAGCTTTTCAGACAGGATGAAATAGGAAAATAGGAAATAAAATATGATGATGAAATAGGAAAAAAAAATATTATTGCTGGGCAGGATTTTTTTTTTTTTACTGGGTAAGAGCTAAAACAGCAGTGTAACAAAACCTGCTGAAAGCACACATGAAGTCTTATGTTATTGTGTGCCAAGCCAACTCTGGCCTTAATTGTGGTATTCACTCCTTTACACACCCAGCAGAAAGAAACTGAGCCACGAATTTTGCATACTTTAAGACAAATAATCTACCAACAGAAACCATATTTTTTGCCTTCTATCTTCTCTGAGACATGAACTAAAAAATAGCTGTGATGAGTTTATGGTTTATTGAACATCTCTGGGCATGCAAGACTGGATAGCCTCTGCAACACAGAGTATCAGCCTCAGGGACTCCCTCAGATTTCAGTCTAACTTTGCCACAACCAACAAGAATTTTAAGAGGATAAACAAAGAAAGAAACTCACCCTTGTGGTGTAAGCAGCTTCTGGGTCATCTTCCAGTACACGAGAGAGACCAAAATCTGAGACTTTGCATACCAAGTTACTATTGATGAGGATATTACGAGCAGCTAGATCTCGATGGACGTAACCCATATCTGACAAATATTTCATGCCAGATGCGATCCCTCGAAGCATGCCTACTAGCTGGATGACTGTGAACTGGGCATCATGTTTCTGGAAAACATTTGAAATGTCATTTCAGAGATTGTTCATGTTTCTGCTTGCACAGAATTTTTGATAAAGACCCTGGAAGCTCCTCAGGTGAAGAGCTCATGAGTCAGGGATCGTGATTTAAATGCCACACGTGGAACTACTTTGATCTGCAGAGGATAACCTCCCAGTCAGCTGAGGGAAGGGGACAGATTTTCAATTCAGATAAAAATTCATTTTTCTCGTTCTTGCTGTCATCAGAATTTTAATTTCCTAGATGGGACCTGTGTGAAAGTGGCACACAAATCTAAGTTGTGTGTGCTTGAGCGCGGTGAAAGAGATGTCCAACTACCCTGAAAGGCCATAGGAATTGTTAGTGAAAATCCCAGCCTTACCCAACGGACTAATGAAAGTTTTCTATTACACAGGCATTTTTTCTAACAAAAGCAAAATGCTGATCCAATTCAGTGGCTTTCAAATTTCATTAAATTTAAACTCATTCCTCAACATTTTCCTCAACTTCAGGAACACAAAAATCACTTAAACACACTGTGACTTAGCCTAGAGACCAATAGTTGCATATATTTCTAATTGTCTGCTTCTAGACATGTTTTAAATCTCCCAGCTCTTACTAATACTGCTTGTTAACATCTAGCTTTGATATTGATGTACAGATACATTGACAACAGGGCAACAGTACGTCCTAGCGCAGCTCTCAAATGAATCCCCCAGTGCTATAAATGTATCATCACAGGCAGCTCTCCAGCTCTTCCTGCTGCTTCTTCCAGAATTTTATTAAATACATGGGAGCTGGCTCTGCCATGTGGGGTGAGCTCACATGAGTCAGTCTGCAACACTGACTGCATTCATTTCATTTTTGATTAATATACTTAGGGGCGATATTAGCACTATAAACATTAGACAAATATAAGGCAAAACAGATGCTTAAAGAGCCTCTCAGAATTCCCTTTCATGAAGAAATTCATTATTATAAAAGTGTCTTCGGAGTTCCCTGTTATGAAACCTTCTTTAACTAGAGCCAACACAAGAGGATCTATATAGACCCTGGAAAAGATTTAGCTAGAAATCAGAAGAAGGCTTCTAACCACGAAAGGAATGAGATGCTGAGATAACCTTTCAATGGCAATGGGGAAAGCAAACTAAATACTTTTAGAAGGCATTTATAAAAAGGGTTATATGGCCTGGGTTGCCTGTGATATTAATGAGTCACAAGGTTCTTATCTTGTGATTCCACACGACAGTAGTAAAAAAAAAAAAAACAAACAACAAACCCCCCCCCCCCCCAAACCCCACACTCAAATGAACGAACAAGCTGAACAACTGTTTTGTACAGTCAGAAATTATTCTTGTTCCTAAGAGCTTTCTTCAAGGATTTTTAGCCTAAACAAAATATATACAGTTCAGTACATATATATTTCATTCAGATATACTGACACATTATTTATATGTATTTTACATGCACCAGTGGACATCATAACATATATAGTACATACTGAAACTAAGGTTGACAATATATCCCCTTTTGGGGTTAAATGTCTAGTTCAGTATTATGAATTTGGGGGATAATGTCATTCAACCGTGGCAGAACCAAAGCAGTCTCCGAGCCACAGCTGAGTTTGCCCTAACAAATTAAAATTAAACTAATGTTTCCCCTCAGATGGGATTTCATTTCTGCTACACTTCTTGTTTTGCCACAAGTAAATCTTGGTGACACAGGGAGCGTTCAAATTTTTTTAGGCTCACTACCAACTTTGACAGAAAACAAAGATAAATCAACAACAGTAATAGTAAGTCTAAGGTTGGGGAAAGAAAACAGGCCAATAAAGTTTGCTAGCAAAACATTTCAAACGCCCTCAGGTATGGGGTTTTTCCCTAAACTTTTCACATTGAGGGAAACGGTTCTTGGCTCAGTACTATTGGTTTACTGATAAAATGTCACAAATCCATTCACTTTGGAAATCACTTGGTAAGACATACCGGCTGCCAACCAATAAGCATAACTGCATTACAGTAGTAATTCAGCCCTCAGAAAAACAATTTCCATTTTTGTGTGCCAGAATGTTGTTTCGTTTTGGTTTTTTTTATTGATGTGACATACTAATAGAACAAAAATGTTCTTCATTTTGGAATAATACTTACTGCAAGCAGTCAAAATGGACTAGCAGATCCCTACCTGGCTTTCTGCGCACATCACAACGCACACAAAACCAAATGGAAATAATGAAATATCAAGCAACAAGAGCTGATGATGAATTGGAGTACAGTGGCAGCAAATTCATAACAAATTCAGAACAAGAGCCAGTCCTGTACCATGTAGTTCTCTATTGTACTTACCCGTAGGAAGCTGTCCAAGGAACCATTTTCCATATATTCAGTAACAATCATAACTGGTTTACCTGCAAATATATTACAGAGGTCAGGCATTTAAAATGAACACATAATGATCAGTAAAAACAGGCGTTTCAAAAATGTGCCCAAATCTTCCAAATCCTAAGGATAATTTTATATTTAGAAAGAAAGCAAAAGATGCATGGGCAAAACTAGCTCTGTCCACAACATAATTGTGATTTCACTGACATCAACAGAAATACAGTCATTTCAGCATAACCTGATGCAATTTTTGGCAGCTCACGTCCCACGACACAAAGCGAAGCATCCTGCATTTTCAGTATACCGTGTCTTATCCATTACCGTTGAATATAATCCTTCATATAATTGTTGAGTTTATGCAATGAAGTAGGTGTATTCTGCCATGCATTTGCCCCCAGGTTCCCTCTGGAAGAGAGCTGGGCACTTGCTGTGGAGGGACTCGCAGTTTCTCTCCAGAGGTGCCCTTGTCTGCACAACGGAGGTACAAGGACTGCGGAGCAGCGCTCTACCGCATGGGCACGGTCAATATGTTCCTCGGGTACTATGGCAGGGGAGAGATTAAATAGCATACATGGAGGCAACAGCTAAACCCCTCTCCCTCGGGAGGGTATTTACAATGCATTTAAAATTGTAGAGCTTCAGTATTTTCCTAGCGTAAGCCGAGGAAAATGTTGGAGTGGGGACAGAGATGGAAGGGAAAGTGCAGAATAAAAGTAATACAGGGCATTGGAAAGAAAAGCAGAGCTGTACCACAGCCACCTTCCACTGCCGGGGGTTAGCCCTCCTCCCAGGCAGCCCTGCCTCCCTCTGCAGCAGGGTCACTGACAACACCAACCTCCCCTCCCGCCAAGCACAGCTTAGCTGGGGGCTGCACAGGGGCAGCGGCATGCTCCAAAGAAACAGCCCGCCATCCTTGAAAAGCATCTAATATCTTTCAAAACTTGTCCGTGCAGATTCACATCAGTTTGTGAGACCATTCTTTCTACCCCGAGGTATTTTGTAACATAACCAAGATTTTATATGCAACTCTGACATGTTGGAGAGAAACGAACACAAAAATTCATGCGATTACGGTGAAGTTTCCAGACAAAGGTCATTGCCCTGCTAATATTTTACCATCATATGGATTTTATTATTTCATAATATTTTCTAAAGCTTTGTTTATTTTCTCTTTCTGGTAGAGAGAAAGGTGGGTAAGAGCATGAAGTTATTTAAGGAGGTGAATTATTATTTCACATATAATACAGGAAGGCATCTGACCCTAAAAGCATGACAAAGGCCTGCATATTGTATAGCAGGCATGGTGATATTTTAGCTTTTAAAACTGAACAGCATAAGGCTTGAAAGAGGTACCCAGTATAATTAAAAGCAAGAAAGCCATTAAAAAAGCTAAGTAAATGGTAACAACTCCTTTTTTGTTTGTTTTTCAGAAAATACAACTTCTACAAAATAGAAATTCTTAGAAGAGAAATATTAATTTCAAAGAATGAGTTTAATATAATAAGAAGAAAATCCTTTGTCCTCTTTGCATGGATTAATGGGTTGAAATATCTTCTTTCCCCTGTGCAAATGATGTGTTATACTGTGGGAGTCACACTAATGGGTAATCGACTCAGTCATCCATTAACTGGTAGGAGCAAACTCTTTATCCAAAACATTAATCTCGAATTATATAGACTATGGTACAGATAAAAGACCTAACAATGTAAAATCTCAAAAAAAAAAAAAAAAAGAAATCTATTGCTTGCTTACTCTTCTTAGCAAGAAATATGCAGTGCAAGGAGAAGTACCTAACTTATACTGCACGTGCAACATTAACCCAAAGGCATTTCTAGTACCGCACAGAAAATGCTGCTGGATCTTTGAAGTAAAGGGCAGCGCACCGATGGGGCTATCCAAAAGTTCATATGATAAATCCACATACTTTGAAACCAGGAGACAGTTGCCTGGTTCCTGTATAAACTCAGTCAATTTTATGACACATGAGAAGACTGAAATTAGAGTAAGAAGCTACATCTTTCAAATTATTAAGAGAGCATCTGCCTGCCTTGTTCACCCATACTTAGAAAGCCCCAAGTGCAGGGTTTCACTCTCGTTCAGTTGGAAACGTGTCCATAATAAGAAGCATATGCTCTGAAGCAACACGGTGCACTTTAAAAAGAACATTCTGCATTCATTTATCAAAGCAGAGCCGTTTATACATGATAACAACTTGTGTCAACAGTGTTGCCGAAATTTATTATACTAACAGGCTACAAATTGCTGTAAATTATTAGTAAACTAAGCAGAACATGTGCACTGGTTATTAAGACTACTGCCTAGAGCGCGCCCAGGAGACCAGTCTAGCAGGAAAACGCAGAACAGAAATGAATGTGAAGCAGGGGAACAACTCTGCATTGAAGCAAAGGACCGAAGTCTCAGCTGGTGGGTGCATCTCCTTCACACTGCTGCTGGGTTGTCCCACCGGCAAACCACAGCCACCCCAGCTTGAGAACTTCTCATACCAAATGGTCCTCTTATAGGGATCGCGACAATTGCAGTTATTAGGAGTTGCTTCAGAAGATCTGCTTAGTATGAAAAGCTAGATCATTGCTAAGGGCCACCTGTCAAAAAGAATTTGGTTAATGAAGAAAAGGTCATATTGCCTGTTTATCATGCATTACCTCTACTGAGAGTGATCCAGCAAATATTCCATAGCCTCTCTACTGACTGTACATAAAACTAATGCTTTTGAGTGTAATTTAATAGCTATCATTAAAAAATATGAACACTTGCTGATTTGTTATTACAGTATATTGGTTTGTTTTAAAAAAAAACAAACCCCACAACCTTCTTGTCCTTCTATCACCCTACAGAATGTTAAAGAAAATAAATGATTATCTGTACTTGCATTTATGCCATATAATTTTACCCAGTAAAATGGATACAAATAGTTCCAGAGCAGTTTTCTCAGCTCAAGTATTCAAGCTATCAGAGAGGGTGTTGTATCCCTGAGGCTTTTATTGACTTCAGCTGGGAATATTCAGGGCTTGCTCTCTCATACTTAAATGTCATAGGCAGCTGGCACTCCTAGCCCCCCCAAAACAGACAGCAGCCTGCTGTGAATACAGCTGAGTAGCAAACTTACTAATAGTCACTTATACAGAATACAGACAGAATTAGTAATGCACATTCAAAAGCAATGCACAAATTCCTGCATGCACAGCAATTAAATTATTTTCTCAAGTGCCACAGAAATACAAAATGTAACAAAATAGATTTTAGCTCAGCTGTGTACAGACTGATGCTGGCATTTCAAGTAATTTTGGGACTGCAAATGTTATTCTGACTGTACAAAGTGTGTGTCACTAAAAAGCAGGGGATAACTTGGATTTACACTGACAGATCTGGCAGTCTGCTCCTAAAGGGACTGTGAGACCTAAGCTGAAGAATAACTTCTTTGTTATTTAAATCAGCAAAATAGACTTTCATGAATCACACCTAGAGAAAGCATTATTATTGTAACTATGTCTCTTCATAACATACAGGGTTTTACATGCCTTACAGTAGTTATTTTTAGACACATTCTTGTGTCATATAATTTGTTGCAGTAAGCTATGAAATTCTTTCATGCCTGTCTATGTTTGCAAAACCTTGAATCACACAATTATAAAAACAAGATTCCTTAAAAACAATAAAACCACTTACTTAACAACAAAGTACTTGGTCTACTTCTACCCTGTTACACTGGAAATGTCCTCAGCTCATTCCAAGCAGTTCACTGAAACGGCAAGAAGCTGCTTTGCCAGCAGTCCTCTAGGATGAACTAGGAAACATCCTACCAATTTCTTCCACTCCCTTGAAAAATCTCAGAGCATTCCGGAATTTTTTTTAAAGAATACCTCATATAAAATCTTATTGATCTCCCACCTAATAACTACTGCAGGACTTTGATCACTAAATTTATGATTTTATGCTGCAATGGAAATTTAGAAAGTCTCTGAATTTACGTCTCCCAGAACAAGCCAGTTTGGGTATTTCATGCAACTTCTCTTTTCTACTACTATTTCTGTCTTTCCACCTCAAGGTAGAGGACAATCAGCAGCACAAGCAACGAGAGCCAGAACTTGCCTAAATGAGGCAGCATCACCAGCACCAAATCCCACCAGCTGCTCATAAGGAGAAGAGCATGCAGGATCTGAGTGGCTTCGAGGGGGCTACCATGGCTGCCGTGTACAACTTGCTGTGATCTTAACAAAAGTGGATATGGAGAGGGTTCTTCAAATATGTCATCTTTCCAGGAAGGTACCGAGCCTATGGAGTTTTCAGTTACATTTTTGTCTCAAAATGTGAAGGGATTGTTATCATAAACATAGGCAAAAACATGCTTAAAAGAAAAAAATGCAAACCCACAACAAAAACACCAAAAGGCAGATTTAGAAAATGTCTATTAGTAAAAATATAAATATTATAAAAGAAATAAGATCAATTTTACTACGGACAGCTTAAAGCCCCAAGATTTTTTTTGAGATTTTTACTAAGAGGTATAAATTCTAGAGGATCAGGATCTTTAAAATGCCTCATACTGGTACATACTGAATATCACATGGAGTATTTTCCCTGCATGAAAACCAGGTAGCAAAAAGTTTGGACTTATTTATTAATATATTAGTATCAGTTGCTGTAGCCAGGTAGGCTGTTCATTAGTTTGTACTAATGATAAAGTCTAATGATATAGTTGAAAGCAGAACATATTGCCTCAGTGCAATCAGGAAACCTTAGGACATAAGACTCCATGACTCCTAACAGATTATCAGCAAGTGCCTCTTGGCCACTTTGTAGCAATTTGTAGCTCTGGAGTTTATTAAACATGCCAGTTTCTTACTGAGCTGCTCTGTTCTTCAGAAATGCTCCTTTTTCTCCGTGTTCTCTGTATTTTTTTCACGCAGATCATTTTTATTTCCCATTTTTTCCCATCTCATTAACCCAGGATACTGCTTTTATGTTCTTGGCAGCCTGAGAGCAGCAAGACAGCGAAGGTCCTACAGCTGCACTGCAGGCAATTGACTCTGCACCATTCTTCATTGGACCCATCAGTGTGGGTTTAGCTGGTGCTTGCACATGAGTAATTTTTTTCCTGCTGTTGAGGAAATACAATATACATTGCAAAAGACAAGTTATGTGTTTCCGCTGTTATCTCTTTTGAAGGATATTTGGTACATATTAACGGGGTTATAACATAAACATTTCTGGAAGGTTTTGCCGAGCAGAAACATAGATTATTCAGTTTTTTATTTGCTTTTGCTCTTCCTTGAAAGATCAGAGAATCACAGAATAATTTAGGGTGGAAGAGACCACCAGTGACACTTCCCACGCAAAACAGATGCCCCTATCATATCTTACTTTTAGTGACGACTCCCTCTAAGCGAATGATATTAGGGTGGTCAAACTGTCCCATGATGCTGGCTTCTCCCAGGAAGTCCCTTCTCTGTTTTTCTGTGTAGCCAACTTTCAGGGTTTTGATAGCCACTGAAATTTCCTTTTTAGAAGGCAGCTTTAGGCGCCCACTGCACACTTCTCCAAATTCCCCTAAAAAAGTGGAAAAATAACAAAAGATGAAAAGTAGTTATTTCATGGGGATTTAAGAAAGAAGACTTATCATTCAGCAAAAGTCCCTGAACTGTGATGTTTACTGGTGGGCCACAGACTGGCACTCCAAAGGAGGACTTCAGACAACTATTTAACATTTCCATGCTTGGGTTCTCCAGCTGTCAAACTGGACAATGTCACTTATTTACACTGCATATCCAGATGACTGCAGAGCAGAGGAATGCATAAACGTCACCAGAAAATTCCCTTTTTGTTTCAGTTGATGCACTTTGAGACAATAGTAGGAGGGCTAACTGATCAATGCAGAAGTATCAGAATAGCCATGCATCCTTGTGAACATTATACTCTTCATTTCTACCAAACAAAGATAGTACAGTTCCCAATTATTTTAATTATTTCAATTAAAGTAGCAAGAGAATTCATAACAAAATAATTTATCTACACAGCTGCAAATAAAAAAGAAATCCATATAGATTATCTTTGTTCTATCATGATTCAGATGGATGCAAATATATACTGTCACTACAGAACTACAGAACTTGATAGTCCACCATGAATATTGTGCCCACTGTATATTGTGTGAGATCCTTAAATAGAAGATGGCAGATATCACTGCATGTTTACTTTTATACAATGTGGTTTATCCCTTGCTATGTAACGTCCAAGAAGAGGGCACCAGGAAAATTACCTTCACATTCAAATGAGCAAGCATTAAATTTGCTGACAAACTGCTGGAAGCAAACACCTCATTTGAAAATTTCTGTATTTGACCAACGATTACAAAAAGCATATAAGGAAGTTTCAGTATCTTAAAAAACATTTGAGCAGCAACTGACTTTTGATTCCCAATTATCCAACTCCTCATCTTAGATTTCACGATACAATAAATTGCACATGCAACATCCCAGTTAAAATTACAGTAGCGACTTTTTGTCTCCTTGTTTTAATGACAAAGTAATTGAAATAATGAAAAATACAATAAAACCAGAGAATGGATAAAGTATGCAAGAAATATGATGGCAAGAATTGCCCTTCATGATTATTTATATTTAAAGACAAGGAAAACACTTTACTGAACAGAGAAGAAAAGAAAGGTCTTTTGTTTTGTGGTTTTTTTCCTTTCAGGGAACTAGCGGGTGTTGCTGGAGGGTTTTAACACTTATTTTCCAACAATACATGCCTATTCAGGTTCTTTTGCCAAAATACATGAGATCTAAATATGAATAGCCCCTCATATGCCATATTTTGTGAAGTGGCCTTGTACAGAAAGTTTGACGTGGAACCAAACCAACCTTGTAAATCTAAATCTACCTGGCATCATTATTATGCAAACTGGGAATTTTGCTTTTATTTGTGAGTGAAACATCATGGAAAGAG